AATTACACTGGCAGCGGCTGCGTTTCATGAACTTGGCTCCCCGAAATGGGCAGTAAAAGAAAGTTTTTTTTTCTTCGCTCGACGTGTAGCGGTTGCTCTTCCTTCCACTCTCACCCTCTCTCGCTCCCCCTATGTGTGTGTGTGTGTGTGTCTAAGTGTCTGTCGCATAGGTAATTCATGACATTATTTTAATTGCAGCTGCTGCTGCCGCTCCTGCTGCTGCTCCTGCTGCTGCTCCTGCTGCTGTTATTGCTGTAACATTTCGCACGTGACTTTGTGATTTTATGGCATTTAATTTCACGTATTTAGCTACGGATATTGTTAATTGTATTCCACAGACCGCCCACACGCCCACACGTCTAGCCGCCCACTCGGCTTACAGCCACGTTTATGACAGTCTATGTGTGTGTGTGTGTGTGCCATAATTTTGCGCATTGTTTTATTGACACAAAACCGAGCATTAGCAATTTGCGGTATCTCTTTGCATTCACAGGGCAGCCATGGGGCATATCGAATTCATCAGGCAGTTGAACAGCGTCAGAGCAGATAGCAGCAGGAGACCTTTTCACTCATATTGCAGGGTATTTATGAGTCGTGCTGCTGCCATTCGAGGCATTAAATTAATGATGTTACACAGCGGAGGCATAAAAAGCATAGCATACTTCTCGGGAGGGACGAGGAGGTCCTGCTTTTAATTATCCCAAGATTTGGCACAGCAGCAGTAGCAGGAGTAGCAGGAGCAGCAAAAACTAACAACACAACAGCCGAACTACATGTTTATGAATAATGGTTGCAGTCTGACATCGGTCTGTACATACATACATGTGTGTGCTTCTGTGTGTGTGTGTGTGTGTGTGTGTGTGTGCAATCTCTCTCATTGGACAAATAATAATGTGTAATTTTCCGGTCATTGAAACATTTGCGCAAATAAGGAAATTGGCTGAGCCCGAACTGAAATGACTTTGACAACATGTCAGGGCAAGTTTATATAGATATATGTGAGAGTCTGTGTGTGTGTGTGTTTGCCTGGACATCCGTTTGGAATCCACACACACACGCATCGTCTGTCCCTATTTGCTGACGGATGAGTTATGGCTGGCAACGTCTGCTTCAATTTGCGCTTGGCTCAAGTAAATCATTTGAATATTTAAATTAAATCGAAATCTTGTCAGCAACAACAACAACAACAACAACAACAGGGCGAAAATATGCATCTACACTACCGTCCCGGATGCTGGGCCACACGACGAGTTCGCTTTAAGGCGTTAATTATAATGCGAGACATGAGAGCGGCGCGTGATTTGCAATCAACGAGAAAACTTAGAGTTTCTTATGTACCTATGCCTATGTATGTATGTATGTATGTATGTAAGTGTGTAGGTGGAGGAGAAGCCAAATAGATAGAAATTATATATCAACATATATATGAACATATTATATATCAGCAGCTTCCAAGCTGAGTGTTCGATGGAATAGAACATAAGGTATTCCTTTGTATACTTTTTCCATTGTATATATAAAAGCTAAATGCGCTCAAATTTGGTTTCTGATGAATACAAACCTTTGGTATTATTAAATTGTCTAAGCTCCTGTGACATTATTTGCGAGTAACCATCCTCGCTTTCAACATGACTCTGAAATTGCCGATCTAAAAGTGGTATGTCATTGAAATATCTTCCTTTGCTGATGATCTGTGTCCTCCTTCATTTGCTTCCTCTAATATTTGCGCTCTTTTCCTCGCTCTCTCTCTCTCTCTCTCTCTCTCTCACTCTGTCAACCTCGCCGTCTGTCTCTTTCTGTAATACTTGCGCTCTTTTCCTCGCTTCTTCTCTCTCTCTCTCTCTCTCTCTCTCTCTCTCTCTCTCTCTCTCTCTCTCTCTCTGTCCTCATCTAACTCTCTTTTCCCTCTCATTCTACCTCTCTCTATTACACAAGCTCTATCTGTCTCTAGCTCCATCTCTGTCATTCTCTGTCTATACTTATGCTCTCTGGTTCTTTGTATGATATTGTATTTATATTTGAATCGTCTACTTTGCTCATTTGCATTTCTGAACTGGATTTCCTATTCAAGAATCTAGGCTCTAGTGCAAGTCTCTTTTTCTGTTCTAAAAATACATACATACTGTTCTAAAAATACATATCTAATATGTTCTTCCATTTGGTCTACAGCTCAAATTGACAAACAGTAAACCCAATATAAATAAAGCTTTATAGCTCCGCTAGCTCATTCATCATGCATATGTATATATAAATTTGACTTCTAGATTTACCATTTGAGCAAGTGTTCTAAGTATTACGCTAAATTTAAATCTGGACTATTCATAGTTCTTGAGAAATTTGCACTTCTCGTTAATTAGAGATTTTCGCACTAAATTTCTATTGTTTATCAGCTGTACGAAAACGAACTTTCCTCACCCATGAATTGTTTCCTGTCTCGGGTTTGTTTTTGATTGAGGTGTGTTCATCATATGGGCAAAGTGTTTCCTCTTCTAGTGCTTGTTCGCCAGAGACCTTTGATTGCTTTCCTGCGCACATTCTCTGGCAAATCAGCGAAATCTCGAAATGTTCAGCTGAAAAGCTTTTAGTTGCGGATTTGCGTTGCTTTTCGAATTGTTTATCCGAAATCTTTGATATTCAATTGACGGGCTTTTCATGGTCTGATTTATGCAGACCCCTCAAGGTATGATATATAATGCGGCATGAGTGGATTATGAGAGCTCGCTGGCAATTATCATTGCGCCATGCATCAAAGGGAACTCGATGGCATTGGGCGACTCTATGCACTTGATCCGCATCTGAAGTAGGGGCATTTGCAAGGCGGCGCAAATGCCGTTGCAGCCAGGTCAAGACAAGGCAAGACAAGACAAGACAAGTAGGAACCCGCTCGGACAGTTGACTAATTGAACGCCAACGTCGCCAGCCGAAAAAAACATGACGTAAAACATTTTGCCAGCACGCAACAACAACTACAGCAACAACAACAACAATGAGAACAAGCCGAACAACAATGAGAATAAATGTAAAACCGCAATGCAAAAAATGCTTTAAACAAATTGCACGCGTGTCAAAATTAAAATGAATAAATTTCTTTCGACGTTGCACAAATGAAACAAAAACCAAAAAGTAATAAATAAATGCAGCAATAAAACAAAAACCGCAACCGACAAAATTCAGAAAAAAAAAAAACAATTGTAAAAAGAAAACAAATAAATTTCAAAATGAAACAAAATTCTGCAAAGAGAAGCCGACGACGATTAAACTCAGCAGGGTTAAAGGTGCGAGCGTGTGTGGGTGTAAGTGTGAGTGTGTGTGTGTGTGTGTGTGTGTCTGCTTACTTTACTTATTTACGAGGTGCGCATTTGACTGGCCTTGTAAATTTCGATTGTTGTTGCTGCTGCTGCTCTGCTCGTATAATTAATTAAAATTCGATAAGATTTTGATATGGATTTAACGGCTTTTCAGAATTATGATGCTTAGTCAGCAGCCGCAGCAGCAGCAGTAGCAGCGACATCTCTTGAGAAACGATGACAAATGGCAGACGCGGCGTATGCGCAATTTACAACTGCGACGAGTGAACACAACAAACAACAGGAACTGGCAACAACAGCAACAGCAACAACAACAACAACAACCACCAGCAACATTTGCCTTTGTTTATATATGTATATGCATATATTTGTTTTCTTTTCTATTTTTCGATTTTGTGCGCTTTAAGTAGCTTCGCATTTGGTTTGTTTGTTTGTTTACAAAACTCAATTTGCAATTGGCCAAACGAGCAACAAAAATTTTTTGGTGCAGACGTCAGCTCTGATTCGAAATGCCCAGTTAGATGGATAGACGCGATTATGTATGCATACGTATATTAAGTCTAAAAATAGCTATTGCCTAGTATTTGTTGTTGTTGTTGTTGGTGTTGTAGGTGGAGCAACTTATTTGGTCGAGTTGATTAGGCAGCGCGTGAAAATTATAGCCAGCTCATAAATTAACTGACCACCGTGCTCAGTTCCTGTGGCTAGATCTTGTGTTGCTGCTCGCATTGCGCATACCCTGTAGTCTACTTAAACTGGGTATGATGCGTAGGCAAGAGAGAGAGAGAGAGAGAGAGAGAGAGAGAAGGCAACTAAGAGATTGTTGAACTGAGCAAAGAATAAAATAAAAAACATATTCGCCCTGAATATATACCCTGTAGTCTAGGCAAATTGGGTATGATGTACATTAAAAATATATAGAAATTATTGTAAGAGCTGTTTCGGCTATTATTTGTTTATCACTAAAAAAGACTGCTCTGGGAATACCCTGTGTTTGGGTATTTAGGGTATGATTAATATCGAAATTTATTTAAAAACGTTTTTAGGTTCTATGACTGAGATTAGCCTAGCACACCCTGCTTTATAGGCATAATGGGCATATATATAATATATACATATATATATATATATTTTACTCGGAGTATACCCTGTAATCTGAGTCTACCCTCTACTCCAGGCATGATATTTATAGTACCTTAATGATTCGATATCTCAATCTCTAGTCAAATTTTTCAAGTGCTGTGAAAGGATTCATAAACTTATTAAGGCTACTCCAATTCTATGTACAGGGTATCTACATCTAGAGCAGTCTCAACTGTTGAGCTTTTTTTTTGTATACGCTTTCGTTTTCCATTTTATTTTACTACCCACTGGCAAATTTATCGCATGCATCAATTATTTTCAAAGGTCGTCGCTGCAAGGGTTTGAGATTTTCTATAAATCTCTAGACTCGCACGAGTAATGGGCATTACCTGGGCTAATTAGTGTAAATTGTAATGGAATTTTCTGTTTGTGTTTCTCTTGATTTCATGTGTGGAAATATTCAATTAAATCTGTAAAGGCGCAACGGAATTCCTTGAGCGGAATGGCAAAGTTTTTATAGTTTCTATACTCGATACAATATATATAATTTATATATACGTATGGCTAGTTACTTTCAGATGGTGGAGTATTTAATGCGAGTTCACTTACCTTTGCACACCTTGCGATGATCTAGCGGCTTGTTGGGATCCCGATAGTAGCCCTCCTTGCACTGATGACAATTCCGGCCCGTGGTCGAGTGACGACAGTTCTGGCAGACGCCGCCGGAGACGCCCTGTGATCGCCTAAAGATGTCCATACTGAAGCGGCACTGGCGCGCATGATTATTGCAATTGCACTCTAAAGAAAGAGAGAGAGAGAGAGATGAATGAGCATGTAATACATCATTGGCCCAACTATCGCTTAACTACCATCAATGTGTTGCCCCCTGCCACAGTTTAAGCTTGGCAAATGCGATAAATGGAAATAAATGGAACGCAAATCGTCCAACACGAGCAGGCGAGGGGGGTGAGCGGCCAGGGCATGTCATTTTTCTAGCGGGACATTGGCATCAATTGCATAATTTATGCGATGATTTGTTTGCCCGGCCTTAAGCTGGGATTTTCATCGAGCTCTGCGCTGAATACACACTTAGCCCCAGGCCAAAGCTCTCATTGGCCTGACTGCAATTGTCGGAGGTGTTGAAGCGCTCTCTGCTATGCCGGGCACGTTGCTCTATTTGAACTACTTATCTATGACGAGTTCTGTTAGTGTATTTCGCTATTCGTTACGCTCCTCGACTGTCGACGGTCGACGGTCGACTCTTGGCTGGCTCATGTTTTGCTTTTGGCAAACACTTTGCTATTGACATTCGATGATGTCTGCTGTGCTGGCATCTTTTGCTGGCCATCGTTAGCTTTGTTCGAGCTGGAGTCCAACTTGGAGCTGTCAATGCCAAAGGCCGATGATTGCAGGCTAGACAAGAGGCAAAAAAAACACACACACACACGCACACAGAGACGAAAAAGCAGCTGCCTCTGCTCCGCACACACACGCACACACACACACACACAGCTGTCCAGCTAACCAAGCAATTCGAACGAGTGCGAGTCACTCTCTGTGTGTGTGTGTGTGTGTGTGTATGCACACATGTTATAATTATCTTTCACACATTGTGAGGCGCAGACAAAGCGTTTGCCTGTCGTCTGCTGCTGCTGCTGCTGCTGATGCGCCCTTCTCGGCGCTTCTCAGCGCGCTTGGCGCGCGCCAGCCGCAGACAAAGTTATGTCAGCGCAAATATTTGAGAGCAGTCGACTTGTCGAGGCCAAATACATGCACACACACACACACACACACACACACACACACACAGACGTATATTTGAGGCATCGTCAACAGAAAGAGTAAAAGAAAAACCTCTGCAAATATTTAGAAGAAACCCGTGTAGAGCTCCCTCGCTCCCTCCCCCTCCCCCCTTTGCACGGCGTGTGGCTAATTGATTGAGTCCAGAGGCTTGGCTTTTGCCACATTGAATTCGATTTTGATTTCCAGCAGCAGCAGCTGTTGCTGTAGATAGTTAATTTTAATGACACACTTTCTGGGCAGCCGAATGCAACGTGATTTATGGGCCAACGCTTCGATTATGGCCAAATCCCGTTCGCAGCGCATTACAAAACACGGCTCCAAACTATGCATAAAACTGTTCATTAGGCCATCATCATGTTTGGCCGGCTCCGGGCCGGGCGTTATCTGAGCCGCGCAACGCGACGCGTTCGTAATTAAGTTCAAATTTGATAAGTGAACCCGAAAAGTCAGGCGACGCGAGCAGAGAGGCCCCACAATCAAATTGTCAGCTCTATCTCAATCTCTATCTGCGTTGTAACTCGTTGTGTGTGTGTGTGTGTGAGTGTGTGTGTGCGAGTGTGTGTGTGTAACTATATCTGCATCTGCTGCGTCAGCTGTTTGGCTTTAATTAACTTGCATCAGTGTCGAGGCATTTACAACTTTCAATGGCTCAGAGCGAGAGAGGGAGAGTGTGAGTAGGGGAAATTCCTTTTTCCGCTTTTCGCTTATGGTTAATCCAACTCTGGGCTAGCTGTGCGATCGAGAATATATATGCCAACTGCCTCGAGCTGTGGCCAAGCGCAGCGAACGTGAATTGAAATCGCTTTAGCTTTGACATTGGCATTTCGCCTTTCCCTGCTCAATGTCCTGTGCCATGTCCGCTATTCGCTGTCCGCCGTCCGCCGTCCGCCTGATGGCCATGTTCATGTCCGTTATGTCGTTGTCCTGGCAGCGTTTTCAATTTGCTGGCCTGCGCTCTCGTCGACATTTCATCGTTTTATGATTGATTGCGTTCGTTCGCCTCGCTCTGATTTTCGTTTACCAAAATTGTGAATTGAAATCGTGTGCATGTGGCTCAATGGCAGCGATAACTAACTCTGCGAGTGTGTGTGTGGCATGTGGCCTCCCTCTCTCACACACACACACCCGTACACACGCATTGTTGTTGCCTCTTGTTGGTATGCGTTTGCGGTTGCGGTTTCTGCTTTTGCGTTTTTGCGCTGCAATTTGACAATTTCATCGCAAAATTGTTTTGGTGTTTGTGGCCATGTTCCGCTGTGGCCATGTATGCGTGTGTGTGCGTGCGTGTGTGTGTGCTAGTCTGTGATTTATCAAAAGTGGTCGATTTACAAATTTTTGTTTACGTGCAAACGCTGGTAATTAATAATTTCTGGCCTGCATACAAAGCCAATCGATTGTTTCCAGCGAAATGCCAAAACATATTTAAGGCAGCCAAATAAAACAGAGTGTGTGTGAGAGAGTGAGAGAGAGAGAGAGAAAGGGGGGGGAGTGAGTGAGTGTGCGATTTAGTTATTGTCTGAATCATATCATTAAAATTGGCTTTTATGATTTCCTCGTTTTGATTGGCATTGGGCGAGCCTTCATAACATTTCCGCTTACGTAAAATTTTCCAAATTTTATGCTCACCAACTTTGCCTTGGCTTCAACACACACACACACACACACACACGCAAACAATTCATTTCATATACAATTGTTAGATTCCATTTTGACCTATTCCAAGTGACCCAGTTGATTGGCTCTTTTGGCCACTCTTCGCTGCGCGCATTATTTATAAACATTTTCGGCTTAAATGGCCAGCATAGCCATAAAATGTTCCCGTTGATTCTAAAACTTTTGTTTAACGCCTTCATAAATTGTTCGCACTTTCTTCGCTGGAAGCGTTCATAATACTCAGAAACCAGAGATCCCATTGCCCATGCCATTGTTTAGGCCTAGCGCTGCTCCTCTCCGATATTTATATCAGCCCATCTTGCCATCTGCCATCTGCATCGTTATGGACATTATTTTTTGGCCGAGATTTCATTATTAGGTATCGCAATTAAAGCAGCTGCCGGCTAATTGGCCGACAATCAGCGCCGAGCCAGAGAGCCGCGCTGAAATGCCTTTCTCGCCTCACTTCAAAGATATTCGCAAGTCATTCCATTGCGTTGGCCATTGCGACTCGGCGGGACATTCGAGAGGAGTCCAATGCACTAGCCATGTGGGTCGTCGGCGAGGTCTTTGGGCTGTTGTTGATTTGCCAAAATAATTTAATGTGCTTAAGTTTATTCGGCAAACTGGTGAAATATTTGAACAGCAGCTGAGTTTTTCTCACATTATGGAGGAGTGTATATTGATATAGGAATTTAAATTTAAATTTAAAAACTCCCTCAAATTCCAAGCACTATTTTGATTTTCTACCAAGTCAACTTTGCAGCTTAAGACTTAAAATCTTTTCATATCATATTAAATATTTTCATTCAAATTAATATCAGCTCTACGAGAGTTTAACTGGAGCTGCTGTAGAGGTAGGTGGCTGATGGGAGAGTCCTGTGTTTTTGTTGTGGTCTTCTAGGATTCTATCTTTTCTGCATCTCTACTAGTGAGAAAATTACAAAAGAGTCAAATCTTCTGGCAAAGTCTTGCTAGAGTTCATGAACTTGTATATTATATAAAGAAAAGCTGTAGGCTTCACACTCATGGTAATCATGGTATATCATGTGTGTTCTTTGGCGTGTTCAATATAGATTGATGATGGTCTGGTATGTTATATATGATTCTCTAATTCTTTTCCAAAGGAGAAAAGCGCGCAGTCAATAAAAAGTTGACCAAAGTCTTGCTTTTATATATATTTTATTTTTCCTTTCTTTTATTGAGCTTTATTTCACTTGAATATATATTTTTTTTAAATAATCCCTTCAGGCTTATGCCACAAATTTATTTTTATACAGTTGTTTTCTGTGGTTTATCAACTGGGATATTTATATTTTTGCTAGTTAGGGATTTTTTTTACCATATATTTTTATTTTATTTCTATTTTATTTTTTGGCAGTTATCTGTGCATAATATAGACAAAGATTATTTATACATATAAGTCTCATAACAGAGGATATTCAAGCATCATTGAACAACTTCAACAACTTCTCTTCCTTGAAACTAGGAATTTGGGAATATATTATATATGTATGTCTTATATATTATTATTGGAAATACATTCCTGCTTGAGCGAGTATAAAATCTTTTCAATTTATTTATTTGCTAAGACTAGAGTTAGTGTAAAATTAAGACTAGCTTTGGCTTGGTATACAAATACTTTTCTAGGTGAGTTGCTTGTACTTCAGACTGTTTCCAAGCGACTTGGCTTAACATTTGAAATACCAGCACTGCAGCTAATTCCGATTGCCGTGCGATTTCCCCTAGAATCTGGCCCAGTTGAGGCTCTCCCATGTTTGATTCAATTGGCTCCACTTGAATCAGTGCGATGCACAAGCTGCATTGAATTTGAAGATTTCTGTTTGCTATTTGTTGCCCCACAAACGACCTCTGGCATTTGCCACTTGTTTTCTGCCTCTGCCGCTGCCTCTGCCGCTGCCGCTGCCGCTGCCACTGCCTCTGCTGTTGTTGGCTTCATCAACAGCTATAAGCATATTTTTGCCGCTTCCTTGCGCATGCAATTAAGGCGACAGCGTCGACAGTGCAGTGTGTTGCATGCGGCTTTCGCGTGCCGCAGCTGCAACATTTTCCTTGTCAACGGCAGGCAGCGCAACAACGATTACAAATTGTTTGCTGCCAGCGGCAAAATAAATAAATAAATACATCCACAAAAAATGTCTGCTTCCAAATACATTTTTAGCTCTCGGTGGAATTCTGTTGCAACTTGCTCTCTGTGCCTTCTTTTTTTTTTTTGTTTTTGTTGCTTTTGGGTTTTTGTCTTCCAATTAACGCAAACGAATTAACATATAAATATATATATATATAGAGAGAGAGAGAGACTAAGAGAGAGAGAGAGAGGGTGAGAGAGAGGGTGAGAGCGTGAGTCGATATGCCGATATCCTGCCGCTAATAAAAAACAAAGTTCATGGCCCACACACGTACACACACACACACACACACACACACACACACACACACACATACACACATAAGGGGCTGAGTGAAGACGATTGTGAGAATTTATGTTTAGTTTTTCGTTGAATTGCTTTTCGTGTGTGTGTGTGTGTGTATGTGTGTTGCTCATTTGTTGTCGTTGTTGTTGTTGTTGTTGTTCTCTTCTTTTATTTAAATCAAGGTACAACATTATTTTCAATTTGCCTCCACCGCCACTTGGACTCTCGACTCTCGAGTCGTCTGCTCGGCATTTTCCTTTTTGCTTTTAATTTCGAATTCCGATTTCGATTTCGATTTCTGCTCTCTTTCCAAATTAGTGTATGTGCGTGTGTCTGTGTGTGTGTGGAGGACCCCAAAGAAAACAATAAACAAATTTTCTAAATGTTATTTCTATTTTTTTTTTCTTTCTTTCTTTTTCTTGTGTGCGCTCAGCTTCAATTTGATGTTAGTTTCTTTTTCATTTCAGTTTTGTGGAGTGGTGCGAGCGAGACAGCAACTGGGGGTGAGTTAAATAAACGACTCGTTAAGACACATAAATAAAACGCACCAAGTTTCCTAATTAAGTCGCCCCAAACAACCAAAAGAAGTGGCCCAAAAATAAAAAACAAAGAGAAAATACTCTGAAATATGACAACAACGAACTGGCTTTGCACTTGGCCAACCGAATGTGTCCAAGGTGATGGAAAATAATGGAAACTTTCTAAATGGCATTTCCCAAATGGAATTTTGACATTAAATTTGAAATATATCACATATATATTATTAATGTAGGCAGCACAAGTTCCGATATGTCAAACCAAATGCTCCTTATTCAGCTGAAGACAATTTCAGCTAAGAATATAACATGTTACTATGGTCTATACAATGACCATAGCTTATGGCCTTACCATTCACTTGAGAGCTGTGAGTTCTAGATTCTTGATAGTTAGCATGTAAGATAGAATGATATCTTCATGCCGTGCATTATCTAAGACTCGAGTTACTTGAGAACTCCATGGCAAGAATTAGTTCATGTAACTTAAACTCAGTTTTATGTTGAGCTCAGAGTATTTTCTAGTCAAGCAGGACTTGATTTTTTTCCTGATAGAGGGTTTATTAATTTCTCTTCTCCCTTTGAGGGTATATGCTAGTTGTTTACTTTCTGCCAAAGCACATTCTCTTGTTCTCTTACTGATATTCGTTTTTGTTTTCTTTTTTTAAGGCATCTGCTAGTCGTTCATTCTCCACTAAATTACCTTAACTTGTTCCTTTTTCATGATTTGAGATTTGTTGAATTATTCTTTTCCTTCAGAAGGGTACATGAGATTCGTTCATTCCCTAGCAAAGCACGCTTACTTGATAGCACAGGAGGTTTATTGAATTCTTCTTATTTTTGCCTTAGCGCATCTTCTAGTCGTTCATGCCTTACTTCTTAAATGATTGATTTGAGATTTATTTGAAATTATCTCCTTTTCTTGAGCTAGGGTATCTGCTATTCGCTCTCTCCCTAACAAAGCACGCTTGCTTGATAGTTTAGTAAATTTATTGAAATCTTCTGCTTTTCTCTTCAGGTCATCTCCTAGTCGTTCACTCCCCATTAAAACACTTCTACTTGTTCTTTTTAACGATTTGAGATTTATTAAATTCTCTTCATTTGTTTTTAGTGTACTTTTCGTCAGGCTTAACACGAATTGTATTTCTTAGGCCCTAAGCAAACTTGATGAAAAAGCGCAACAAATTTTGGTCGAGCAACGCCCAATGGAAGTATATATGTATGTGTGTGTGTGTGTAGGTTAGATAAACAAAACAGCAGCTAGATCAACAGCAGCAGCAACAACTGCAACTACTGCGCGCAGGTGATAGACCAACACAGAGCGAGAGAGTGAGTGAGTGAAAGAGAGAGAGTGAGTGTGAGAGAGAGAGGCAGTAGCCCGCCTGCTGCTTGCTGCCAGCATCGAGCTAAAGTGTCTGCGGCTGCTGCTGCTGCTGCTGTTGCTGTTGTTGTTGGTTTTGATCTTTGTTTTGATTGGGATTGGGTTTTTGGATTTGGATTTGGATTCGGTTTCGGTTGCCAGTTCAAAAGATCATTGCTGCGCTGCGCTGCGCATTTGCATTGTGTTCCGCGCACTTTGTCATTAGAGGGAGCTGGCGGTGCTGCTGCTGGTGCTGCTGCTGTTGAAATGTCAGCGGTGCGCAATGTCCGTAGCACATGGCCTCCAAGTGCGGCAATATGTTTTGTTTAACTTTTGGACTCGCGTTGCCGTTGCCTTTGCTGCATTTGCATTTGTTTGTTTATCTTACAGCCGTTGGCTGCACTAAGCAATCGTGGCCAGCCAGCCGGCCGATGGTGTTGGTGCTGATGGTGTTGGCCCCGCCTTAATTGCAGCGCCAGAGCTAATTCAAATTAATGATTTTTAAATGCGCAAAATATGCGCTACTGATTTCCAGTTGACAGACTGCGAAGCGTGCAGCATCGAATAGAGTTGTCGATTGCATTTAATTAAGCAAAACAACACCTACCACTCCCCCCCTCCCCCATCTCTCTCTCACTCCCTCTTTCGCCCTCTCTGCTTGTCAGACTGGCCGTCGACTTTGTCCAGCCGAGATGTGCTATCATTTTATGACTACAGTTTCCCTAGAATCGAATCGAAGCGGCAACTGTAATGCGATGCGCCCGAAAGGTCAAAGCGAGCAGCCCAAAACATAAATCAGCAGCCCAAGAATCTACCTCGCTGCCCCTCTCCTGCTCGCTCCCTGTGTGTGCGTCTCTTCTGGCTTGCCGCTTAACTGGCGGAAATTTCAATGTCACAGCAGTTGCTGCAGTTGCTGCAGTTGCTGCAGTTGTTGCAACTTGTTGCCCTTTCCCATAGCTCATATAACTGAACTGAGGAGTAGACAATGCAAATATTCTCTCTCTTTCTCTCTCTCTCTTCTCTCTTTCCGTGAGTTGTATGACTATTTCAAGAGTTTTGTGACGTACATGGCAGTCAGATGCTGGTATTGGGAACATGAAAATATTATCCCGGGACTATATATATGGAATATCTACCTATGTATATCTTGCTTATACCCTAAGACTTTTACTGCCAATAGATCTCTTCGGCTGGATTTAATGAATATTTTCAATATAATATTCATATAGAAATATATATCAAATTTACATATTATCTAGGACTATAGATCATCTTTATATGTATTCCCCATGCCTGTCCTCTATTCAAAATTCGTTTTTAGGCTAGATCTAATATATATAATATATTAAATAAATAGAAAAAATTATCTATCTGTCCATATTTATCTCTGCATTCCCAATTTCTAGCTTCGTTTGCAAAACGATCTCTATATATGCTCTTTTGTTTGATCTTAACCTCTCTTATGTATATAGTTTTTTATTTATTTCCATTCAAATCATTCCTGAAATCTCTTTTCAAAGTCAAATATTTAATATTCTCCAAGGATTCTCTTCTGTTTGATCTTAACCTTTCTTATATATATATTTTTATATATATTTTTTTTTTATTTATTTCCCTTCAAGTCATTTCTGAAATCTCTTTTCAAAGTCGAATATTTTATATTCTCCAAAACTTTTTTGCTCCGGCAGCTGTTTAAGTGTATTCAAGCATCGGTTTAATTTCGCCTCAGTTAACATTTATAGGTATTTTTTTTTTTTTTTTTTGATAATTCGTCTTGGTCATATCGGGCGTACGTGTAAAATCTCCAGCTGGGCGGTTGATGGCGACAATGGGCAGCAAAGGTAGGAAACTGAGATCCTTTTGTGCGGCACAGTTTTTGCCATTTATGGCACTTAAGCAAATTAATATGAGAAGGCTTTTGGGCGGGCCGTTTAGGATTTGGGCAGCGGATAAGGATGAGCCGGAGCAGGAGTCGCAGAGGCCTAGCCAGCGGCTCTAGCAGCATCAGTTCTATCTCCCTCTCCCTCTCCCTCTCTCTCTCTGTCTCTGTCTCTGTCTGTTTCTCGGCTTATTTGGTTGTTTTTATGCATTTTAATCTTTTTGTTACGCTTTGCACATCGGGTCATCATCAGAGGCAGGGCTCGGGGCCCGGGGCAGGAGGAGGAGGAGGACACCAGTGGCAGGGGCATTGCCACATTTATTGTATGCACGGCATCCCGGCTACGAATTGGTCGATTGTTCAATGGGCTTGCCAAGCGGCAGCTGTCGCCCTTTTGTTGCCATGTTGCACATCCATTCAACAAAACTATGCAGCCCGAAATGCATGCAAAACTATGTCCCTCTTCCTCTCCCTCTCCCTATCCCTGTCCCTGTCGCTATCTCTGTGCCCTTGTCTGTACCTGTTCCCGTCCCACGAGGCGGCATTTATTTACATTTGCCCGGCGGACGGACGGCGAGCAGAGTCGGACTGTCTGCGCTGCATTCCCACTGCCATTCAGCATTCGCATTCGCATTCGCAGTTTTTTTTTTCTTGTAAAGCCTTTTTTCCAGCAGTTCCCAGATCAACGGAATGCAACCAGAGCGCGCTAACAGGTGTGTGTACACACCCACACAGATGATTTGCCAAATTGAAAAGGTTTTTCAGTTTTATGAATCGCTCGTAGCGCATAAAAAGAAAACACTTAAGCTGCCAGCTAATCAATTAGTAACAGCAAATGAGATTAATGTTTGCGTAGCCAAAGCAGCAGCTAGACATAGACAAGCCAAGACAAGGCTGCGTATATATATATATACACATATATACAAAAATAACAAATATACATATATACCATGTATATTCATGTTATATATTTGCCAAATCAATGAATCTGCCACATTTCATTTGAATACACTCAACGAATGCTAAATGAACTTGACTTTGTTTCATTATTCAAATTGAAAAACAATTCACACTCAATTTATTTAGTATTTTATTGCTAAAATGCATAAGATGAGTACAGCCATTGGCAAGCCTGACTGCATAATACTCGCTCAAGGTGTGTTGATTTCTTAAGATTATTAATATATATTTAATCCGAGTATAAATCTTAGATTTTTTGTTATTAATTTGTAAGTAGAACTAGATTCAGATGCCACTAAAAGTAGCAATGAAGTTGTTAATAATATATATTAAATATTTTCCAAAACAAAATATAGACATATATAGATTTCATCAGAGCCACTACCAACTGTGGCCTATGCCATATATTTTATAATATATCTCAGATAAATTATGGGAAAGATATTCAATGTTTCAATTGAGAAATTTTTGATCTTTGTTTACATTATGCTCTAAGCATGATTTCTATGATTTGCGTTCCTTTGGAGGCGTGTCAAATCGGAAAAAGGCAGTCCTCTCTACACTTTTACAGTTAAAGAAGCCCAAATGACATTTATATTCACTATGATCTAGTATATAGTATAAGATAACGAGTGCCTTATTAAGCAATGGGAGTCGTGGAAAATCGAGAAGAGAACTACATATATCTTCTACTGTGTCGGATATATACACGGGCACTTAAGCTATTCTTAAGTAAAACAGAATCAAATATTATATATAAAAATTTGACTGAGTGTTATGCAGTCGGTAATACCCGATAATGCATGCATATATTGCATGCAAGTCAATTTTAAATCTTAGAGTAGCTTCTTCAGACAAATTAAAGAGCTGTTCGAGTCTGATTTGATATCATATAATGCCTGTTACTAGGCACTACAATGGTCATTAAGATATTAATATCAGCGCTGGATATAAAGGGCGCTTAAAATCTTTCTTTCATCTGCATAGGATTATAGCTTAAGCCAGAGCTCTACAGAGCCACTAAAACTCCAAGCGATCTCATCTAATATCACATAATCTACAAAGGCCATGAAAATCGTAGCCTCAGCGAGATTAGCTTTGATATTTGATTCAATATTAATCAATTTGATTGCCACAAAATATAGATCAGAGTTTAGTGCATTGAGCTGAGCGTGAGTCGACTGATTGCAAACCCGTTTCATGGCCTTGCAGAGCACAATAAAACCGATCACAATTGACATCGATATGTGTATGTAGATGCGAGAGTGCGAACACTAAGAATAGTCCATGATATACGAGATGGAGGTTGGATGCGGCGATTCGAATTTAGCTAGTAAAACGCTCATTGTCATAAGCAAAGCTGATCGCTTATCTGGGAATGGTACATGGGAAACGTTTGGAGATTTCGATCTGCCCACGATACCATCGGGCAGTTGGTTGACTTATTTGCGCAGCTGCCTCCTCGGCTGCCTCGGATGGCTGAGAACTCAATTCCCAGTTAGCCCGACCGGAAAGCACAATTGTCAATGCCGTTCACTTTGCTGTCTGTCGGGCTGTCTATGGCTGGCACGGCTAGTAAGTAACTAAGTATATTGTCAATGCTAAGTGGGCTGCGCGGCTATGAACGACTAGCAGTTACCCAGTAAGCCCGAGTAAAGGCGAGTGTGAGAAAGTGCCAAATGAACTGGCTAGAGGGAGAGAGAGAGGGAGAGTGAGAGGGAGAGGAAGAGAGAGAGAGAGTAAAGGTATTCAGCTACACTGCTAGCTATAAAATATGCTGGGTATATTAGCATTTCGCTGTATATTTTGGTTTGTCTCTTTTTTCAGCTTGGCCAAATCGTGAAAGTAACAGAAAAAGATCAGCAAATCACAACAACAACAGCAACAACAACAGCAGCAGCAGCAGCAATAATAATAAGTAAAATGTGCAAACTGTGACCAGTTGAAGATCGAAAGAGATCTCGATACTGGATGCGCGATTTGGTCATGATTCGGCAGCCGCAACGAATCTTTATTAATATTTGTATTTTGATGGAGGAGGAGGAGGGGTAAGGGTAGGCGGAGGGGCAAAAGAAATGCGCGAGGTCAAAAGGAAATCAACTGCGATCTGCTCTGCTGGGCAATTGAGCCCGGCCAGATAAGCTGAGAACTTGAGAACCCAACTCTGGCGCTGCCGAGCGAGACAATGCAATTTGCATATTAAGACAATGGCAGCGACAAATACATATTTCCTTGGCCTCTCTAGGCTCACGACCAGGCAGCAGGCCAATGGAAGCTAAACAAAACGAAGCAAAAACAATGCCAAATACAATGAAAAGTTAATTGTGCTGCACTGAGAGAGAGAGCCGAATTGTTCTTCATCTCTCGCTCTCTCTCTCACACTATCTCTCTCATTTTTCGGGGAAATTAACACTTGACCAAAAACTAGGCACTGAGCTGCGTCCAAATGGCATCTAAAGGAGCTGGCAGCAGGTCCTCCGCTCAGATAATATTTATGGCCAAGTGACAAGACGGCAGGCGAAGGCGAAACAAAAGCAAATG